GGCGAATTCAGATTTGACATAACACCCGCAATACAAAATACATGTGGTTGTTGTTGTTTATTCTTGCTACCACCTTGTATAAATTCGCCTTGAATTCAAATGCTACTAAGTATCAGTTTTCAATCAGCTGACGTCTGTTCGTCAGTGTTGCCATCTGTGGGTTTAAAAAGCGACAAACACTGCGCGCCATATTTGAATGTAGCTCGAAAAAAACGCTAGATTTTCTTAGTGGATATTGACTACGTGATAAAAACCTAAGCCCCCCCGCCCCCCACTGTGACCAAGTGTGGTATTTGGAAGATCCCCCTCCCCCTCCCTGAACGGGTCACGTAGTATGGGTACGTTCCCTAAGTTGGCATCCCTGCTTCCGATAACTTACAAATATAAAAATGTGAAATATCGAGGGCTTGAATTCATTAATACCCTCTATCTGTAATTTGCACAAAAACTAATTTGGGATTTTAGAAACCATCTGGGACTTATTACCTGTCGTTATATAAGGTAACCTTAATATCACTGATGACAGTTAAAGCTTAGGTGGATTTTTATACCAGAATCTCATCTTTGTGAAAAGTGTGCAGATAGAGGGTATTATTGAATATAAGCCCTCGATGTTTAAAATATATAAAAATTTTATTTCAATGTATACAAAAAATAAATCTACCTACGTTACAGCACGGCGGGAGAGGGGGAAGGGGGGCCGGCGCGAGTGCGGCGCGCGCGTTGTGGCGCGCTAACGCGGGCCGCCGCGAAGCTTAGCAAATTTAATATTTGAAAGAGAATGTCAATGGATTTTATTTCGTTTTTAAAAAGGTAATAATGTCAATTGACTTTATTTCGCACCAGGGTGGGAAATAAAGTCAATTGACCTTATTTCCGTTGATCTTATTACCTGTCACCATTGAAAACATATGAGGACACAAAAAAATTTATAAGCCAACACAAAGACCAAATTGTAATAACCCAAGCAAGGTAACAAAACAGTAATGATGTACAAGACTGATTATAATTGCAAAATGATGGAATTGCTGAATGATAAAACCACATACAGAGCCATAAGAAATGATCCCACCCAGAAGTTAATATGAAGAAACAATACGATCATAAATGATTTATACAAACAGAAGAAAATTAACCTAAACGAAAAGCTACGGTTGACATGTGCAGCGGCAAATGCACCCAGACTCTACAGCCTCCCCAAAATCCACAAGCCCAACACACCTCTCCGACCAATATCGTCATCCGCAAATAGTCACTGTTACAAACTTTCAAAATATTCTAAAAAATATCAAATCAGATACATACAATATAAAAAAACTCTTATCAATTAAAAGAAAATCTCCAAGATGTCACAGAAGCAGATGAAATTCTAGTATCTTTTGATGTAATTTCATTATTTACGAATATCCCGACGCAGTTCGCCATACAAATTATCATGCAAAATGAAAAATATTGGAAAACTACACCAACATTGCAAAAAATTATTTCCAGATGATGTTAGAGTTTTGCTTAAGAGACAACAACTACTTCAAACACAATAACACCCTATATCAGCAAATTTATGGTATGCCCATGGGGATCCCATTATCGCCAACCATTGCAGACATTGTGCTATATAAAATATTAGACGATAGCATAGCTGAAGTAGAGCAAAAAAATATACATATCAAATACATAACGTCGCCTCGGTAAAAGATTGTCGTAAGCGCCATTTTGACGATTTTTGGTTTTAGATGCAATTATATATTTTGAAATAAGGTCTTCCGATTGGTGTTTTCAGGTTTTAGATATCTCCTTTAGTTTCCGAGATATTGACTACAATTTTTTCGATAATTTAGTAAAAATTTAGTTAGTGATGCAGTCATATTAAACTAATCAATATCTTAGAAATGGCGAAATTTTTATCACATTTTGACGTATTTCATACAAAGTGGCTGCCAAATTGTGGACAAACGACGCTTACGACAACATTTTACTAAAGAAAATCTTTTTAAAAAACTCAAAACTAATTAACAATAAACATTAAAAATTAAATAATTTAAGAGTTTTGCACTAGTAACATTTTCAGAGACTATGGAGAGAATCTATTTTCGCGTTTTTGAGAAATTGTGTTCCAAACTTCAATCGCGATTTCCCACAACCTACCGAAATTAACATACGACAATCTTTTACCCAGGCGACGATAACCAAATATGTAGACGATATATTCGCGATAATCAAAACAAAAGACGTGGAAGAGATATTGAAAACATTAAACGCACAACATACAAAAATACAGTTCACAGTAGAAAAAAGAGAACAACAACAAAATAGCCTTCCTAGATGTAGAAGTGCACAAAAGATGAGACCAATTATTGCTGAACTGGTTTGCAAAATCAATTGCGACGGGTAGAATCATTAATTTTCATTCGAATCAGCCTTGGAAACAAAAGGTAAATACCGCGGCCAGCCTCATTAGGAATATACATATTCTAAGTGACGAAGAATTCACTGACGAAAACAATAAAAGAATTAAAACAATATCGAGCAAAAATAGCTACCCAAATGCAGTCAGTAATTCAGTCTCATCTCAAGTCACTAATTTTGAGATTAGCAATTAGTGACTATTTTTGTGACTTGAGGCGATTTGGGTATTCAGAAGGAGAGAGTCACAAAAAGTTCATCAAAAACGTGTGGTGAAAGCAAACACAGACAATCAACTGATAGCGTTTATGTATGCCTTTTGCCGCGCCGCTCAAAGAGTCGCAATGGCCGAGTGGTCAAAGCATTAGGCTGGCAGCCGAGAGGGTCCGGGTTCAAGTCCCCCTCGGGCGTAGAGGATTTTTTATTTTTTTTTTTTTGCATTTTTTTTATTAGTTTTATTTTTTTAACAATCTTTAGATTTTAATGTTTTAAAAACAAAGAAATAATTTTTTTTTTTTTCAATACATTTGTATGATATTAAAGCATTTTGGTTTATTTCCTAATGAAATTCTTGTTGAACAAATTTCCTCGCTTCATTTTCGCGTTTTTGTTTAATAAAGTGGAATGAAATAAGCTTTTCCTCCATACTTCTATTTTTGTGACCTGCTGTTAGCCAGCTGACAAATTAGTGACTTATTTTTTGAGACTAGAGACGTGAGACAGCGTACTGAATACCAAATAGTCTCAAAATCCGAGTTCACCACCAAAAGTCACTATTAGTGACTAGAGACCGCTTACTGAATGCCAGGGTTATTGATAGTCTATTAGAGAACACAATTAACAAGATTCACCAGCCTAACCAAAATATAAAAATCGAAGCAGAAAGTTCCAACAAAAAATACATTGGCTTAACATATATACCAGGCCTAACAAGCAATAAAACACTGCGAAGAACAATAAAAAACAACAACATAATACATGCGCATAAACCACAATGCTCTAAACAAAATATTTACTAAAACAAAGGACAAGATCAAAAAGAGCAACAACACAATGTAGTATATGAAATAACATGCACTGGTAATAACAATGAAAGC